ATCTTTCACATGTGGATTTTAAAAATTGTAATGGAATTTAAATACAATAATTAATAAAAACAGTTTCGAATTTTTTTTTTTTTTTTTTTTTTTTTTTTTTTTAATCGATAAAATCATACCGATACCGATTAAAATATGAAGTACTTTAATTTACAATTTTGAAGTTACGCACGTCAATTTAATTGACGGAAATTTGAAAGTGACGTCTAACATATATACAATAATCATAGCTATACAATGGCCACTTATTGTCCGAAGGACACTACAGGTAGAGCAATAGTACACCCGATGTCCGTGTGTTAACAAATTCCGAATTTTGATTGGCTAGATCAGGTGTAACATGAAAGAGAAACAATCAAAACAATAATATAAAAAAATCAGTTTTTTTTTATATTTAGTCCTTCGGACTTCAAATAGTTTCTATGTTTCTAGTATATAATTTAATTAATAATTCAATAAAACTTACTATGTGTGCTATATGAATTGCCCCAAAATTTTTTTTTACCATATTTGGGTTGTATTTATAAGATTTGACGACTTTGATTCCATAATAAATGTATGCACTGCTATGTAAACTTTATTTGAAATTATGTACGTACGTACATTATAGCTATGTTTCCATAATTAGATGATACATTCTTAAGAGGGATTAATCATGTTTACTAATTGTCCGAAGCGTAGCGAAGACTTATGTGTACATGTAAAAGTTGAAAAATGTCCGTCTGTCCGCCACATGATAATATTTTTATTGGCCGATAATTAATTAAGTAATAATACGATATATTGTGAAAATCAAGACGTCCAAAGGTAGGAATAATGGTTTTCATTTATTCATTTTTAGAAAGTATTTTAACAAATTACATAATTAAAATGAGAAATTTTGAGACAGCCTACTGACGCAGCATCCACATGATTTATCTTATTGGCACAGCAATTAATATTTCACTTTACCGGTCTAATAAAGTTCAAACTAAACTATGAATTATTGAAATAGCAAGTAAGTTTATACCAGACTTTTCTATAGTAGCTCGTGTTAATTTAGTGCAAACTAACTCAACTACATACTGAAACTGCAGAATAGCAAATTCTATGAAATTTATAGTAATCAAAATAACTTCAATACAAACTAACTCAGTATTAACTACATATAAATCATCAATTTTAACCGTATATTGTGGTCATCAAAATAGCGAGTGAGTTCTGTAACAGAATTTTTTACAGTCATAATTCTAATGCAACTAACTTGACATTGATCACATAGAAATTATGATAATTTTTGATGCAAACTAACTCAATTTTAATCACTAATTATGGTTATTAGGATAAAGTTCTGTAAAAATCTTTCTAGTAGAAATCATGATAATTTTAAAACAGCCTTAATTACTGTATGTACGCATTAAAGAGTAAATTTTGTGACAGAAATTATTATACTGTGTATCCCTGGTTGAACACAGAAACACAATGCTTAAAGCATCTGTGTGGCAAATACAGTAATCGAAAAAAATTTAGAAGGTGTATCATTTCGATAAGAATGATTTTTCGGCATAAAGTGTGACGAATCATTGTGAGTGACAAATAAGAATTAACTAATTGATTCCTTTATTTAATGCTTATTCGTCATGCCGAGGTGATCCCTTCCATTTGGTGTAGAGATGCGACAAATCATTTGCGTGACGAATAAGCATTAAATAATAGAATCATTTATCTAGTTCTTATTGTCACGCCAAATGATTCGTCACATCTTTGTGCAATAGACATGCCATACGTACTAATAATACCGATCATGCCGTAATAGTAATCACAAACTTTACCGAATCGGCCGAAAAATCATTCGGCTAATTTTTATCAGGTGTTTCAGGGATTATGATAATAGCTGTAAATTTTGAATTGAAAAAAATTGACCATGTAAACCAGAAAAATTTACTTTGCGTCGCTTAATTTATAACTAATTGGTTTTTACCTGTGACTTTGCTACACAACTATTCTATACGTGTATTATGTTAAGCAAAAACTTTTTACAACTGATTTGAAAATTAGTGAGGCATTTGAAAAATTTGCTTGTTTCCCGAAACATTTCGGACTCGTCTTATGAATAATATAACTATTCGGCTTCGATCCGAGGAAAGTGATGTGATTTCCAAAGAGTTAGGTGATTCATAAGACGAGTCCGAAATGTTTCGGGAAACAAGCAAAATTTTCAAGTGTCCCACTAATTTTCAAATCAGTTGTAAAAGTATGTCAAGCTTCATTTTATAAATTTATTTCTGATGACACTATTAAAAATTAAGGTTGTTCTCAAGCAGCTTCCTCGATGTGATTTGCTAGCGACCGAAATGTGCTCAGCCATTTCGATTAACAGAAATTAAATGAAATGATATTTCGGTATTACATACTGTACGTAACAATAGAAGGAGGCAACATAAGTAATACAAAGTTAAAGTTATTAAGTCGCAAGGGCCTGAATTCTAGGCTTTATTTAGCATCACTCGCAATTTTGGACTTTATTAAATTCAATATATAAAATATTATTATTGTACATTTACTAGGGAGATAAAATCCATAGGCATTATATTAGTTGGGCCCAATTTAAGACATGCACTTATGGAATTTTTATAGGGCGTGAATAGGGAGGTTGTACGTATTTAGAGAGGTTTGATTGCAGTTACTTATGTTTATATTATTTGTCTTGCGACATAATTACTCATATGTTATATGCATACGACTTGAGATATAGTTACTCATTTTTTAAATATATTTGGGTATAATTCACATGTTAAATATGAACTCATTCAAATCGACTTCTCAACTAACTCTCTATGGCAAACCGAATCAGCTCGAGTAACTTGTCCCTACAAGAAATGTTAACTTTTATAGGGAAAGGTGCAACCACTAGGAAAATGTGTATTGACATTTCGGCCGCTTCCACATCCTATTTCGGTGTTATTGTAGCTTCCGCAGTCTATTCCTATAGGACGACATTCGTATGATTGGTAGATCTACCCGTGATTTCCCGTGATAATTAACCAATCAAATCAATCAAAAAA